GCTCTACCACTTGAGCCACAGCGCCACTTCTGGCTTTTTTCTTTTTGCTTATGTGGTGCTGAGGAATCGAACCCAGGGCCTCAGGCATGCAAGGCATATGCTCTACTATTTCAGCCACACCTCCAATCCAGCTATTTGCTAGTTACTGTGGAGGTGGAGTCTCCAAGACTTTTCTGCATGGACTGGCTTCAAACCAAGATCCTCCAGGTCTCAGTCTACTTACTGAGGAGGGAGGATTACAGGCATGAGCCAAAGGCACTGATGCTCAGCTTCTTCAAGCTTCATGAAATCCCTTTACATAAATACTCTTTATCATCCTATTCTAGTGCAAATTTACAAGTTCATTATTAATATCCTTAATTAGCAACATCACTACTTTTCCATCTAATTTTCTATAACTTTCCAGGTACTTTCTCTGACACCTCCTGAGCTGCCCATAAACTTCTGACACCACTCAATTACCTTTATTTACTCCATCAGAACATAGAATTCACCTAACAAATTGCCACCTAAGATAGTGGTGGGAATTCTGTGCTACATTCTAAGGCACAAAGATAACACTGAACACTCAACCAGGACGCAGTCAATGGCATAATCTGGTGGTGTTCTGGAAGTCATTCCACCTAGCCATCACTGCAGATCTGTTTCAAAAATGTGGGAGGGTGTGGGAGGCAATGCTTCCAATTATTCTACAATCACTCTTGACCTCAAGACTATTCCATTAAGTTATGAGAAGAGAGGCAAACTGGGACAATAACATAAAGGAGAATAAGACCTGGGTTTGGGTTTCAAAAAAGGTATTTGCTTTATTACCATAGGTAAATCATTTAAGTTCCAATGTCCCAATATCTTCAATTCCAAGATGAAGAAACTGGGTTTCCAGTTGCTCACACCTGTAATCCAGGCTACTTTAGGAAGCTGCGATCTGAGAATTAAGTTTAAAACCAGCCCAGGCAGGAAAGTCCATTTAAGACTCTTCTCTCTAACCAACAAAAAAGCAGGCAGCTATGTGTGGCTCAAGTGGTAGAGCACAAGCTTTTAAGGAACAAGTTAAGAAACATGTCATACCTAGGCCTTGAGTCCATGTCTCAGTACCAGCATGGACACACAAGAGGAGAAAGAAAAATTGGGTTTAGCCTTCTTAAAGTTTCTCCCAACTCTAAAGTTCTTGTAACTTACACAATTTCAATCTCTCCCCTTTTCGAAGATAACCATCAGATAATAATGGCCAATTGGTATAATTTTTTTGTTTTTTTTTTAAAGAACCCAACTTGAGATGTTTCCTGATGCTGAACTTTTATTTAGGAACAATAAATCCCAAATAAGAATGATACGGAAAAAATGTCAGAAGTGGATGGTGGGAAATGAAAGGAAGAAAAAAGTAAAGAATTCATTCATTCAGTCACACACTAACAGTCACTAAATAGAAGCTCCTTAGGCCAGTTTGTCAATAGTTACTCAGAGCATCCCTGGCTTCCTAAATCAGAAATATTTATAGTTGTTCCCTTCTCATTCCGAAAGATTCATTCCAAATAAAAAGTATATAGCATCTAAAAAAAATAATTTAAAACACCAATTTACAACTTCAGAGAAAGTAGCATGGAAAGCAGGAAAATTGCACAGCTCCCCAAAGTCATCTGCGTTGAAGTGTGTTTGAGACCCTAAGAAACAAGTCCTTATTCTACGATGTGAGAAATGCACAAGAAGCAGGTGACATCTACAGTGTGAAAGCACAGGCACCACGAGGAGATTGGCCGGGGACCCTCAGGCAACAGGTCCAGAGGTCGGTAGGTGATTCAGCCTCTGGCGACGAGAGGGGGGTGTTGGTCACTGCCACCTCGTCGGCTGCGCTCCCTCCAACCCCCGCGGCCTCGCCGCGCCCCCGCCCCCATCCCACGCCCCTGCGGCAGGAATCTTCCCGACCGCTCGCTCGCTCGCTCGCTTCCTCTCAGGCCCTCAGATCGCTCCAAGCCGAGGACACCATACACGGCCGGTCTCCCGCCCCGCTGCCATCCCCGCCGCAGCAGCCCGGCAGCCCCGTCCCCGCCATCAGCCGGTCTCCGTCTCAGCCCTGTCCTCGAAGCCGGTCTCTGCCTCAGTCCTGTCCCCGCAGCCCCGTCCCCACAGCCGGGTCCCTGCTTCAGCCCCGTCCCCGCAGCCGGGTCCCTGCTTCAGCCCTGTCCCCGCGGCCTGGTCCCTTCCTCAGCCCAGTCCCCGCAACCCGGTCCCTGCCTCAGCGCGGCACACGCAGCCCCGTCTCGCCTCAGCCCTGTCCCCGCGGCCCTGTCCCCGCCTCGGCTCCGTCCCCGCAGCCCCGTCCTCAACTCAGCCCGGACCCCGCAAACCCTGTCGCCGCCTCGGCCCGGGTCCCAGCAGCCCAGTCCCCGCAACCCCCGTTCCCGCCTCGGCCCAGTCTCCCACGGCCCCGTCCCCACCTCAACCCGGTCCCCCGCAGCCCCGTCCCCGCCTCAACCCGGTCCCCCGCAGCCCCGTCCCCGCCTCAACCCGGTCCCCGCAGCCCCATCTCCGCAGCCCCGTCCCCGCCGCTCACCTGCACCTGTTTGCGGAAGTGGCGCGGCCCCGGCCCGACCCCCGGCCAGGAGCAGCAGCAGCAGCAGCGACGCCGGCGGTCCCGGCATGTCGCCTGGCGCGGCGCGGCCCCCGCGAGGCCGTCTCTCGGGTCGCCCTCCGGGGGTCCGTCCGTCCGCCAGTCGGTCCGTCCGCTGCCTCAGGGACTGCTCCGAGACACTCGGGGCTTCAGCCAAACCTCAGCGCGGCTCCTTCGGCCAAACCGCAGCCACCGCTCCGGCCACAGAAACCTCATCATCCTTCCCGCCCGCCCGCCCGCGCGCCCGCGCCGCCGCTGTCGCCTCCGCTTCTCAACAGCAGCAACGGCAGCAAAGCTGCGGAGCCGCGGGCCCGGGCAGCCGCGCTCCCGCCGCCATGATGGGCCGCGTCACGTGACGTAGCACGAAGGCGGGACGCTATGATAGACAGAGAGACTGTCCAACCGTCATTCCACAGCGGACCTGGCGGCCCCGCCCCTCGCCTGAGGAGGAGGCGAGGTGGCTGCAGGGTGCGCCCCCTGCAGACGGAGGAGTGCGTGGGCAGCGGGTAAGACCATTCTTTAACATTTTTAAATACAGGGAGATAGAAAGATCGCCCGTAATTTAACCTGATCTTTCTCAGGCTTTTATGCCACCAAGAAGTAGGCTTGTTGTCTCTTCTGACTTTTCGCGTGTGCGCGTGTGTGTGTGCGCATGAGCGCGCCTGCACACCAGTCCTAGAGCTTGAACTCAGGGTCTGGGTGCTCTACCACTTGAGCCACACAGTTCCACATCTGACTTTTTTGGTGATTAATTGGAGACAAGAGTCTCATGGACTTTTTTTTTTGCCCCGGCTTTCTTCCAACCGTGATTTTCAAATCTCAGCCTCTTGAGTAGCTAGGATTATAGGCATGAGCCACTAGCACCTGGGTCTCTTCTGATTTAAACGGACAAAAATTGAATTGGATTCTCCTCTACTTAGGCTGACTGACCTACCTATTCTTTTCAGCCTTCAAAGAGCCTTGGGTTTGGTTTTTTTTTTTTTTTAATTTCAACTCAAGAACAAAATGCCTCTTCCCTCTTCACCCAGTGACTCAGCTCCTTAGCTCAAGCTGGTCTCTCTGCCAGACAGCCCTTCCAGTCCTCTCTTGTCCAACTGGCACACTCTTCTTTTTATCTGTCAAGACACATCTGAAATATGACTTCACCAAGGAAAGTTCTTCATCCATGGCCAGGACCAGGACTCTCATCTAGCGCCCCACCCTGGACCTAGACCTACTGTGATCCCAGGTGCCATGTGATGGGGACTGGAAGATCCTTGAGGACCAGTAACTGCTTCCCTTGGGATTCCCCAGAGCTTTCACAGGGCCGGACTTGGATTGGGTGTTGTCTAAAGGAAAGTTACCAGGTCTGGGCTTTGGGCTCAAGGGAGGAATAGCAACCAGGTAAGATGGAACTTGGGGAAATACCCAGCTTTTCTTTCCCTGTACTGCTGTTTGGGGGGCTTGAACTCAGGACGTAGGTGCTACCCCTTAGCTTTTATTGCTCAAGACAAGAGATCTACCACTTGACACACAGCTTCAACTTGGAGATCAGACTCTCACAAGGACTTCCCTGCTCAGGTTGGCTTTGAACTCCAATCCTCAGATCTTAGCCTCCTGAGTATCTAGGATTAAAGTTTTGAGCCATTGGCTCCCCACTACCCAGATTTTCCGTTAGATGGAATTTTCCTTATGTGACAACAGTAGAGCCTCCCCAATTCTCTAATCTTCCCCCCCCCAAAAAAAAACCCAAAAAACAAATCCAGTGATCCAGCTGAGAACACACAGACAAGCTAGGGAACGTTTGTTGTATGATTGATTCAAGCTTTCAAACACGTACGAACAGCTTTTGACACTTAAAGAAAACATCCTTCACGTTTGGCCCATCTCAATAAGAAAGGAAAGCAAAAGTCTAGTAAGGAGCTACAGTTGCCCTGTTTGTGCTCCTGCTTCTATCAGGAAGCTCAGAGCTTGTGTTCAAGGAAGGGCGAGAACACTCAGACTTGACCTGAACTGAGATCAGCCCAGAGAAGAACCTGCCTCATAAGCTTTCTGGGAGTTAATCATAATCAGAACACACCACAACAACACGTCATTGTACAACACAAAGCAGGTTTTGTTATTATTTGAGAAAGCACCAAAGTTTTACACACATACACACACACACACACACACACACACACACACACACACACAGCTTTTGCCAGGTGCATAGAAGAGGGTTGAAAGTACACATTCCTCAGAAAGTGACTAATGGAAATCTTAGCAACCCCACCCCCCCTTTACCAGGCCTACTTTTGGCCAAGCTCTTCCTTAGAAGACTTCTAATTAGAGATTTTTTAAAAAATAAAAACAAACAAAACACCTCTTGGCTTTGTGAAGGCTCAGAGGACTCGCAAGAGCCTTTAGCACCATTTGGGATTGGATCTCTGAGATTACAAACTATGCATGTTTCAATGTGTCTTTAGCTCTTGGCATTGTGTATGGTCTTTTCCAAATTTTCCTCCCTTCCAGCCAAACCATCACAAGGAAGACCCTAGGGGCGATATATGTCCTGCCAGCCAGCTCTGGCTCAGGTCTGCGTGCTGAATGAAGGATATAATTAGCTTAGTATGAGGAGATCTTCCCTGCTCTCTCCAATAGATACACTAGACATTTTCCAAGCTCAGTTGAATCCAATGGGGGCTTCTAGGAGGGTCCTGTTGATGAGGTGGTAGAGCAGGCTGGAAAGCCAAGTATGAACTCTAGGGATTTTGCATGCCAGTTTTGTTAAACACAAACATTACTAAAATTAAATTTTATAAAGAGAGATGTAGGGCTTACACTTGTAAACCTAGCTCTACAGAGGGTAGAAATTGGGAGGATTATGGTTTGAGGCCAGGCAAATCAAAAGTTAATGATACCTCCTTCTCCCTCATCTCAACCAATAAAAGGTCAGGCATGGTGGTGCATGTCTGTTATCCCACCTGAACGGCAAATGCAAATAGGATCTCAGTTCAGGTATAAACAAGAGACCCTTCACATCCCCCCCCCAAATAACCTAAGCAGAAAGGGAAAGGAGATTTCTGATTACATTATTTAAAATACTCAGTTTTGTAGCTGGGCACCAATGGCTAATACCTATAATTCTAGATACTCAAGAGACAAGAGATCTGAGGATTTCAGTTTGAAGCCAGCCTAGGCAGAAAAGTCCATGGGACTCTTTATTTGCAATTATTCACTGAAAAGCTAGAGGTAGAGTGTGTCTCAAGTGGTAGAGCACTAACCTTGAGCCAGAAAGCTAAAGGATAGTACATAGGACCTGAGTTCAAGCCTCACTACCAACACACACACACACACACACACACACACACACACACACACACACACACACAAATCTAGTTTTTTAAAACCATTACAAAACATACAAACAGGAAAATATGTGTCTGTGTACAGGAGGAAAAAAAATCAGTCAATAAAAACTACAAAGACATAGTGGACAAAGACTTTGAATCCTTGTTATAAATATGTTTCAAGCACTAAAAGTTAGGTCTGGGAATGTGGCTTAATGGTAGAGTGATTGTCTAGCATGTAGGAAGCCCTGGGTTCGATTCCTCAGTACCACCTAAACAGAAAACCCAGAAGTGGTGTGTGGTTCAAGTGGTAGAGTGCTAGTTTTGAGCACAGAGAGGCTCAGGGTCAGTACCCAGGCCCCTGAGTTCAAGCCCCTGGATTGGCACAAAAAAAAAAAAGAACTAAAAGTTAGTTGGAAGATAGGAAAGACTTCAGTAAATGAAAGGCATCCCATGTTCATGGATTAGAAGACTTAAGGCAACACTTCCCAAATTTATTTATGGCTCTGACACAGTCCACATCAAAGCTTCATCGTGCTTCTTTTCAGAAATAGGGCACCAGTGGCTCGTGCCTATAATCCTCAGTTATGTCTGCCCAGGAGAGTAGCCCTCTTCCCCCACCCCTGGTAAAGGACAGCAGATAGCCTTACCAGAAATCACCTTCCCCAAACCCACAATCACTTGTAACTTTTCAATCACCTGATTGTCAATCACCTGACTGGGAATCAGCAAAGGATCCCAAGCTCTGAGGTCACTTCCTGAACCACCTTAGTCATACTTCCTTCAGACAGTGAGAGATTCCCTAGGTTCTGCTGTGGTCACACCTCCACACCTTTCCCTATGTAATCTCTCAACCATAAGTTCCCTCTTCTTCTTCCTTTGCACAACTACATCTGATGTGGGCCCTGAAAGTTTGTTTGTTTTTTTTTTCTTTTTCCTAGTAAACTCTCTTCTGCCTAAACTGCATGGTGGTTTCCTTTCAGCAACCCTTACACTCACTACTCAGAAGGCTGAGATCTGAGGATTGAGATTCAAAGCCAGCTGGGGCAGAAAAGACCTTTGGACCTTTGGATTTTTATCTCCAATCAACCAGCAAAAGCTCTAGTCTTGAGCAAAAAAATCTCAGGGACAGTGCCCAGGCCCTGAGTTCAAGCCCCAGGACTAGCACACAAGAAAAAGAAAACAGGGCTGGGAAGGTGGCTCAGTGGTAGAGCGCTTGCCTTGCATGGGTTCGATTCCTCAGCACCACATAAGCAAAAAGAAAAAAGCCGGAAGCGTCACTGTGGCTCAAGTGGTAGAGCACTAGCCTTGAGCTGAAGAGCTGAGGGACAGCGCCCAGGCCCCGAGTTTAGGCCCCACGACCGGAACCAAAAAAGAAAAAGAAAACAAGCCCAATGCAAAGAGGAACTGGTTGAGTGCTTGCCTAGTAAGTATGAGGCCTTGAGTACTACATTTGCTATATTATGTCTCAATAAAGTTACAATTCGAAAAACAGGCACCAAGCACGGGGAAAAAAGTCATTGATTCCTCATTTTTTTTTTACTATATTTTACTTACTTATCTATACTCTTGTGGTTATTTGCATTTAAAATTTGTGTGAGGTAGGAATTATAATAGTATACATCTTTCCAACTCAGGGCCAGGATAATATGTCTTGAAAAAAAAGAGCCCTGGTGTGTCTTTACACCACGGAAATTGGCAAGCACCTCTAAGCAGGACC